ACTGCTGGGTGGTAAAAAATATATATATAGAGTGAAGAAAGCTAGAAGGTCAGGTTTTTTCCGATCGCTGAGCAACGCGTACTGTGTGAGACTAAACGTTACCCGACGCCTCAGGGGGAGGAAGACGGTGTGTCAGCAAGTAGGTGGCAAGCTGCCGAGGAGGTGGAGCTGGAGGTGGAGGCCGTCCAGAGTGCTTGGTGCAGGTGTCCGCGGTGGCCGGGAGCTGCGGAAGGTCGGTCCGGGATGATCTGGTGTCCTGAGGTTGTGTGGTTTGGCTGTGAGAGTGTGGTGAGGGGTAGCCGGTCTCGAGAACGAGACCTGTCTCTGCCACTGAAACGGTGGAGGAGCGGTGGCGTGTTGGTGGGTGATGGTGTGGCTGGGTTGCGTTGTGAGGTGGGTCCGGAGAGGAGGTTGGTTTGCTGTGGTGGGATGTCGAGGGTGGGATCAATGCGGTAGTGGCCAGGGGAGCCTGGTGAACCAGGAATGAATTGCAGCTTGTTGAGTCCACGGCGGGCTTCGTGGGTTGTGTTGATCAAATGTCGCAATGTGTTGCGTGTCTGTAGAAAAAGTCTGTAAGCTGGTGTATTGGTGAAAGTGGACATTGGGGGGATGGGATCTCGCACTATGGGGTGATGTTGGAGATCCTCGATAAGTGAGGATATGGTATTGATCATCCAGTGGAGCAGGAGTAGTTCAGGTTGGTGTGTCACGGATGGAGCCAAGTATGGCATGGGATTGCTCGGTAAAGAGTAGCTGTGGTGTAAAGTGGGTGGGCCAGGGGAAATTGTAGTGGTCGCTGAGTAAGGAGGTTGTGGAGTTCGTAGGTCATCGGGAGGCATCATGTCGTAGGAAGGGCGCACGTTTATGAAGAAACTGTTCGGTCAAATGGCTGCGGACAAAAGGTGGCAAGCAAGAAGGAAAACCAGTAGGCAGTGTGAATGTGAAAAGAATTTCTGTTGCATGGCTGAGTGAAGAACAAAAAGACTATGCATGTCAGTGGATTTGTCACGCGGCACGCCGTAAGGAAGGTGGGTGAAACGGATCAAATGAAGTAACTGCCAACTGGCGTGAGTGGAGATTTCTCCGGACGACTGTCCTCACTAAGCGGTCGCTCAGCAGCCGGCGGCAGCAGCGCAGCAGCAGGAGTCGTTGGATATTGCGAAGTCGGTGGTGTTGTGGTGGGGGAAGGGGAGAAATCTGGTTGTGAATGTGGTGCTGAGGAAACTGCTGGTGATGTGGGTGTTGGTGAGGGGGAAGGTGCTTGTCTTGGTGGTGCAGTGGGTGGTGATGTGGAGAGAAGTTGCTGGTCTTGCTGTCGTTGCATGTCTTTGAGTTCTTGCCATCGGGCTTGGCATTGTGCAACGGAGAAACCCACTCGGCGGGCCACAGTAGTCCAGTTGGGACGAAGTTTTGGGTTTTCCTTGAGTTCGATAAGGCGACAGTCAGCATCGCCGTCCCAAGCGTCCCAATCGGCCTGTTGGTTCAGTGGTGGTGGGGGTGGTTGCTTCCGCTTGCGTGTTGTGGTGGGTTGTGGATCTGGGGGTGTTGTTGGAGTGTCGTCTGAGTCTTGTAAGAGTGGTGCGGGTAAACGGATGGGTGGTCTGGATGGTGCTGAGTCACAGGATGAGGTGGTGGATGGTAAACGTATGGGGTGATGGGGTGGAGTTGGAAGTGGCTGAAAGTGTTGGCGGAAAGTGGGGTCTGCTTGGTGGCTGTGGTGGAGGAAGACTGTGTGGAGGTGTGCTACAATGTCTGTGGCTTGTCGAAGCAGGTTGTGGACCTGCGAAAGTGCCACTGCGGTTTTGTGTAGGAGAGTGGAGGTGTCGTTTTGTAGAGGTGTCGGCATGCTGCTCATGGGTCTGAGATGTAGGGGTGTGCAGTAGTCAAGAATCGTCACAGGTTGCTGCGGCAGCGCGCCAAAGCAGCCGGAAAGCGGCGAGTCTGAGGGAGCACGTCATTCCGAGGCCATGCATATGAATTAAGCGAGCATCAAATTCCCACAGGCAAAAGTGCGAGTATGCAATGCTGGTTGGACAAAAGAGTACATGGCTAGAAGAATCACTCTCCACGATGCAGAATCTGACATGTGAAAGACTCCTTCAAAACAGCCGATACAATTCAAAGAAGTCGCAGCAAACACTACGAAGCTAGAAAAATGGAGGGTTCAAAATGCCCGTGGCTGCTGCAGGAGGCTCTTTTTTGCTGCTACAGCAAAAGGTAGGTGGTGGTGTGAAACCAAAAGTTGATGTGGAGGTGGTAGTGGTGTGTGGATGTGTGGTAGTGGCGTTATGGGTCCGGTGGAGTGGAGTTGGTGGACCAGGCCAGTCCTTTGACAATGGCGTGGTCCGGGTGGATCACCCAGCAGCGGCCTTTCTGATGAAAGACTGCACCATGGTGGTCGTTAAGGAGGTTCATGGCGTGTTCCTCTCCTCCAGAGGTATACTTTGTGGCAGCACCCCAAGCAAGGAGTGTGATGATAAGGGAGTGGGAATTCTTGTTGAGTTGCCAGGTATTGTGGATGATGCGAGCAAGCTCGTTGTGGTCATGGGGTTGGTTGTGGGTGATGCGAACGCCCTGGGCAAAAAATCCAGGGTAGTTGGCAAAGTGGAGTGTGCTGGGTAAAAACCGGCCTTGGCGTAGAATGTTGGAAATGTTGCCGACGGGGCCTGTGTGGCCTGCGTTGATGTGGGCGACTTCCCGGTGGGTTGATGTGGCGCGGGAAACCGCAGGTGGCTCTGGTGTAGTGGCTTTGGTGTTGAGGAAGGGAAGTGAAATGGCATAGTACTGAAATTGGTCGTATTGGTGAGTTGTGTCATTCCACTTAGCGTGGGTATATTGTCGGAAATCGGTGATCTCCTTGTAGGTGATGTTGCAGTCTGTGAGGATATTGGCAATGTACTGGTGGTGTGGTCGGTTGGGGTTGTCGAGTTGGGTGGCGTGGAATTCGAGCCATTCCAGGATTTGATCTGCAGGTGTGAAGGTGTGAAAGTTGGGTGGAGGTCGCCAACGGTTGATTGGGCGACGAATGACGGCTGTGGTGGGATATTGTGAAGGGTCAGGGTTGGTGTGTTCGGTGTTGGGGCGTAGATCAATGGGTTGTGGTGGTGACCGACTGCGGGATGGTGTGAGGCTAGATGTGTAGGTGGATGTTGAGGGCGACCGCCGTCGCCGGGTTGTGCTGTGGTGTTTGGAGTGGCGGTGATGGCGATGTCGGCGGCGGTGGCGGTGGCGTCCTCTGTGGTGATGGTCGGACTCGCGTCGGCTCTTGTGGCGGTGACGGCGACTGCTGTGTGGTAGTGGCGGGGAAGGTGGTTGCGGTGCTGGTGAGGCAGTGGTGGCAGGTTTGTCTGGTGCTGGTAGTGAAGTTCCAGGTGCTGGTGTGGCAGATACCAGCGAGGGGGATGCTGAATGTTGGGATACGGTGGCTGGTGGAGGTGTGTTTTGGACTGGTAGTGGATTGTCCTGGGCAGTCGAGGGGATGGGTTGGATCGGTGGTGTTGGATCCGATGGTAGCTGCTGTTGAAATGGAGGTTGGGTTGGCGTTGAGGCATTGGGAAATTGTGGAGGCGGTGGCGGGGGCCCTGGTTGGAGTGAAGGCTGTGTGACAGGGGGAAAGGCTGAGTAGGGTTGCCAAACGCCCTGGGGGATGGCGCATTGGGGGTCTGTGGATGGATAATTGGCAGTCGTAGGCTGTTGCTGTGTTGGAGGGAGATGTGTCAGTGTAGTGGGGGGAGGAAGTTCAGCCGGCGGCGTGGGTTGAGGTGGTGGCAACAGGTAGGACGGGGGAGGTGCTGCTGTCGGAAACACCGGAGTTGGATGTGTGGGTTGCGGTGGCACATGACATGGGTGGACAAAAGTCCAAGTGGATGGTGTGCCGTAAGTCATTGCAGTGGCAGTAGGGTTGGGCAACAACGGTGGTGGTTGAAAAGGTTGTGGTTGTGGGTGAGGGTATGCCGGTGGTTGTGTCGAGGGAAAAGTGGGTGCAGTTGATGTTTGTGGCATCGGCCATGTGGGTTGAGGTTGTGTGGTAGGTAATGGTGGTGGCGTGGCGTGAGCGTAGGGCCACGGAAACTGCATGTCGTGGTCGTAGCTATGGCGCGGCGCGGCGCGGCGCGGCAGCAGCGGAGAAATGCCGAGTTGTATTGTCTTGTGGTTGGTCATTGTTGTTGAATGTGTCATCTCTGGTGTCAGTGGTGAGTATGTTGTAAGGTGGTGTTAAATGTAAGCTTGTTAGTAGGTGTGTGTTCATGCATCTCGAATTAAGCTGAAGAGTCGTAATGCTCATCCTTGAGTTCTGTCAATGAAAGAATCGCGGCAGCAACATAGCGTACAGGGAAACACGCACATGATTGGAAAACATGAAAAGAACACTGAATGCTGAAATCTGAGATCAGAAGTTCGGAATCTGAAGGATTCTTCAAGAACCGTTTTTTGGCCCGGCGGCCGGTGTGGCGGTTGATTCTGTGAGGGTGTCGGTGCCTTCCTGTGATGTTCCAGTGATCGGTGGAGCGTTGGGGTGGTTGCTTTCCCATGCAAAAACAGCGCCCCTGTGAAGGGGATCACACTCAGCACCCGAGTGGGCGGCTGAGCAGGACACACTTCGAACTTGGATTTTCAGTTAATGCAAGTATCACGTTGGGAAGGAAGGTGAGAGAACAGAAAGGTGCATGGGTCCGAGCACTTGAAAGGTTTAACATTGTTGTCAAATCGGCGGTGCAGCTGCTGAAAGAAACCTGTTTGGGGGGTGGAGGCATGAAGAACCATGGAAACCAACAAACAGCGGCAGGGTGGACCATTGGAGTCAGTGTGTTGAAAGCAGGTACAGGAAGGTGATCAGCCTTCCCTTCCCATCCATGACCGCAGCTTCGTTGCACACGGTAGGTCATGGATGCCGTGTGCCCCTGCCTGTGTGAAAGTGGTGGGGTGAGACCCTTTGTCCAGGGTGTGACACACACACACACACTCTAGATTCTAGATAAAGCGTAGTGACTCCAAGGGTTTCACACACCCACACCCCAGCAGAACTCTCGTCCTTCCTTTTTCTTCGGCATCCACTGGCTCGGCACCATCCGCACCGCCTGGACCTCGAAGTCGTGCGAGGCTGGACCTTGAAGTCTTCGAAGCTCCTCCTGGACCTCTGTACTGTCACCTGCCAGGCGTTCCGAGGCCGTGAACGAGTCGGACCGGGGACGTCCGAGGGACCACGGGATCCATTGGATCCAAGACAGCATGACCCCCTGTGAGAAACGACAAGAGTATGACATCATAATATGAAATCATATGATAAAATCATATGAAATCCACAAAACAATTGAAGGCTGGTGGTGGTGGTCTAGATTGGTTGGCCCATGGCAAACAAAAGAAATCCTGGCTGATCCCAACAAACGTTCACTTAATCAGCCATGCTTTAGGCAATCCCTGTGTTACGTTGCCGTTCACATGAATCTCCTTCGTCTATACGCAAACCTTGGTGTAGGTATTGGAAAAACAAAAAGCACGAAGGGAACCTCCCCAACTACTCTGAAAGCAAACAAATTGAAAACCCCTCTTTTTCGCTCCTTGCTCCCTTATAAGCTAGCTCCTTTCAGCGATTTCTTGGGCCTCCCAAGTCAGGATGACCCCAACTGATCAACGAGCCATCCGCCAGGAGGGCCACAAAGGCACCACTCGTCGCACAGATCTGCTGCACCGACCGCAGCTCGTCTCGCACCTGCAGGGGAAGAGGCCCCTGCCAGGGCGAACGGAGCGATCGGACCGCGGCGGCGAACGGCCTGCGAACGGGGATCCGACAAACGGAACAAGGTAAGCTACGAACGGGGCGCTCCTGGCATGACGACGAACGGAGCGATCGGACGCCAAAAAGGAATACACGCGCAAAAAATGGTGCGATTCTTTGGCTCACCTATCCTCTGCTGTTATGCCGTGGGTGGTTTGGGCTGGCGCTCCCTGTCTGGCGCTCTTGATGGTCTGAATTCCGAGGACAAAAGGAGTTTCCCGTATCCGTTTGACTCTGGATCATGTGCCTCTGGACCAAGTCACCGAGTAGCTCTGTAGTTAGTGGATACTTAGTATTTGGTACAACTTGAGGTATCATCATATGGTCAAGACTCACACTCCACCTTTCAGAGGAGTTCACCACAACTTAACCCACACACACAGGCAAATGTCATGTCCAACCTTGCTACTGTCACCTCCAAATTCTGGTCGACCCCAAGTGATCACCAATCCATCTTGTAAAATCGCTGCAAAAGCAAAGCCCGAAGCCACCATCCGTTGCACGTTCTTCAGCTCGCTTTGGACCAAGCTGCTGTCACCTCCCTGTTCCCGATCACCCCAAGTAACCACAGATCCATCAGATAAGCGAGCTGCAAAGGCTCCGGTGGAAGCACAGATTTCTTGCACATCCATCAGCTGGTCTTGCCATCCGCTGCTGTCGCCGCCACAAGCCGCATGACCCCAGGTGACAATAGAGCCATCTTTCAAGAGTGCTGCGAAGGGCTTGGTTTGACAAGGTAGACGGCCAAGTAGACCCATCCACCTTAGCGACGCCAGGCAAAATAACATGCTGAAATTTGAACCACATTCTTCAGTTGATCTTGGACACCACTGCTGTCAAGCATCGGCGCTGCATGGCGGCACGACCTGAACCGTTGATCGCTCGGACATCCTTCAGCTGATCCTGCACCTTGCTGCTGTCGCCTCCAAAGTGCCCGTGACCCCAAGTGATGACAGATCGATCGGCCAAAATGGCTGCAAAGGCAAAGCCTGAAGCTTCAATGGTCTGCACATCCTTAAGTTGACTTTGGACACTACTGCTGTCCCCTCCATCCGCAGGATCACCCCAGGTCACAACAGATCCATCAGTCAAAACGGCTGCAAACGGGCTTGGTTTGACAAGGTAGACGGCCAAGTAGACCCATCCACCTTAGCGACGCCACAGGTATGCGCTAGATGGCGCGATAGCGCCGGTCAAGCAGACGTCTGCGCACATCGGCCAAATGTGCTAGCACAGCGGCATCGTATTCGTGGTTTATGCCCATGGGCCATCCCAGAATTTGCTGAAAGAGATCACTGGGCTCGAAGGTTCTGGTATTTGAGAAACCTTCACATTCCCAACACATGTGGCGCCACGTGGGCGCGGCTTCCGAAGAACACCATTGGCAAGGAAGCACAGGTGCCTGTGGGTTCGAAATGCGAGCGAAACGAGCGTCGGACACGACCGCGCCCATCATGCACGCTCTGGCGTGAGTGTTGGACCCTTGGAACGTCTTACGAGCAAGGGTGACCCGAGCTTCATTGTATTGAGCTTCTTGAAGCATTTGAGCATCTCGCCTGGGAGTGGCAAGAAACAAACGAAACTGTCTGCGTCTCCAGCTTTCTCGGAGCTGGTGATGCTCGAGCTTATCGTTGGTTTGGACCTGTGCATCAAAATCAATCGTGTGATTAACAGAAGGATGGAACCATTTCCATGCTCCTTGCTCGTGCCATCCAAGCGAAGAAAGCCACCGTCTCACGGTGCCCAACCAGGTTCCTCTGCTGGCTTTGCGAGGCCAAGGCCTCGGGGATTTCCTGACTTGTTTAGCTAAATGCAAAAAGGCATGAAAACCCGCGCAAAATTCGGTGCTGAGTCCGTGTCCAGTCAACATGGAAAAAAGATTGTTTGCAGCCGCAACATGGCCTCCACCGGCAGCTTTCTTAAGGCGGAGGGAGAGCTTTTTACAAGGAACTGTGGAGTTCCATGCCCCCCAGATAGCCTTGGGGATTGCAACACACTTGATTAGGAAGGCTTTACGCTCATAAGGTAAAGGCAACAGATCGATGCGGGCGATCCTCTGAGCAGCATCACTGACACGTTGGTCTTGGGTAGGTCGATGGACTGCCCCAAGGCGGGCAGTGAAGTCCACTCCGAGCACTCGCGCAGAGGGTACGATGCTATTGGTGGGAAACCCCGCCTGCTCAAGGCGAGTCCGGAAGGCAGCCTTGCGAGGAACTACTTGAACCTTAGAATTATTTTCTTGCAGACCGACTTTGGCTGACATGTCTTTCCAAGTCTCCCACAGCTGAGCGGCTCGCTCAGGGGTTTTGGTCACGAAGTTCCGATCGTCTAGAAATGTCACCAGTGTGTGGTTTCCCTCTTTTTGCAGCACTCGACCAGTCAATCCAGCCATCACGGCCAGCAAAGTCAGAGGGGAAAGGGCGTCTCCCTGGGGAATGGACGTGGAGACGTCGACTGATTTGGGCAAAATGTCGCCCTGAAAACAAAGCCACCGCTCTTGCTTCCAGACCATTTGCAAGGCGGCCAAAATTTCCTTTGGACACCCAACGTGTTCGAGACACCGCAAAGCAAATGCAGGGTTAATGGTGTCGAAGCACTTAGCATAATCAAGGCTTACCAGCACTCCGCCGTTTGGCTTTTCGAACTCTTGCAGCAAAGTGTCGATAGCCTCGGCCACACCTCTGCCTTCCAAGCCTCCACACGCCGTCCTATGGGCCCAGGATTTGACCCATGCACGGGTTTCTGGACGTCGAGTCCATGCCGAGGCGACCACTCGCCACAAGCAGGACTGCACTGAAATCGGTCTCAAGTCTTTTGCACCGATGGCGCCATCTGTGGATCGAAGTTTTGCATTTGGTTTTTGGAGCAAACATTGTCGCACCTTACTAAAGCAACGAGGCATTTCTTGGCGGGCAAACCACCGAGACAACAAAACGGCAAAAATGTTCCAAGCTTCGAGTGGCCAGCTGGAAATTTCACTGCCGCTCCAGCCATCAACGCCAGCGGCACTGCCATCTTGTCTTTTGGCTTGGGTGAGGAGTTCCTCAGCGGCGATGGGCGTCCAAGCAAATGACTGAGACGGAGGCATGCCTTCGTGCCAAAACTCAAAGGCTTCTTCAGGATCAGGCCTGTCCCTGTTCCAAACAGTTTGCCAAAATGCCAAAACGGCTTCCAAGGACTCCTGGCTCGTGGCTGTTGCAGCCCCGTTGCGAAAGCCAGGATCGAAAACTGAGGTGACAGGCAAACAATTGGTCTTTTTAATCCACTTGCTTGCATTTTTGACCGTGGAACGCATATTATCTCTCCAGTGAGTCAGCCGCTGTTGCTGTGCCTCTTTTAAGCAAATTTGAAGCTCACTCTGGCACCAAGTTTGGATTTGTTGTAAAGTCTGAAACTTATTCTTGCAAACCCACACATGCGTCCAGATGCGCTGCTGGAGGCGGTGAGGGACTGATTTGCCTTTTTGAACTTGCGACAGCGCTTCAGTGGCGCGGCCAAGCAGCTTGCGGAGGCGAAGCTCTCGAAAACTGGCTTCTTGTGTCCACCGAAAGGATTTTGACTCAGCAGGTTGCACCTGGATGTCTGTGCCCTTAGGTCGCTTGTGTTTGGGCTTGGGAATTTTACATCCACACGCAAGCATTGCGTTCACTTGTGCATTTTCAGCTAAAGTGCAGAAAGCCTCCCATTCCTCGTCAGTGCTCGTGCTGGGGGGCACTGAAGCTGAAGCCCAGACTTCTTTGAGTGCAGTTTGCCACATCTCTCTGGTCACCTCAGGGGATGGTGCAAGTTTACGGGTTTGGATAACTTTGAAGGACTGGACAGTTTCCTGTTGGTAGCTCAAAGAACATTGGATCATTTTGTGATCAGAGAACTTTGTAGCTTCAAAACCTAGGTTGTGAAGCATCAGGGGATGCGAGGTCCAGATCCAGTCAATGCATCTCTGACCGTCCCATCGCGTGGGGCATTCTTGACCCTCCGAGTTATGTACTGCTCTCACTGCGCCAAAGCCGTGCAGGTCACTCCATCGCTGTCCAAAAGACGTCAACTGGTTAAAATCACCGAAATAACAAATAGGGCAGCGAGCTTTTGCAGCAGCAGCCCACTCGTCTAGAGTGGGCAGGATATCACTGTTCATGGACCTGGGAGCTAAGTAGACACCAACCACCAAGGCATGAGCAAGTTGCAACATCAGGGCTTGCCCATCTGGTCGAATGTGGGTTTGCACCAAGTGGGCAGGCTTGTCGTGGCGGACGAGGATAGCGACCCCCCCAAAGGTTTGTGCGCAACCACTACGAGAAAGGACCGGTCGGGGAACAGCGAACCAGCTTCTATAGCCGTGCCTGGACAGAAACTGGGCAATGTCACTTTGCTTGTCAGGCGGCATACAAATCTCTTGCATGATGACTACGGACGGCCGGTGAACAACAGCCCATCGGCACACAGCCCATGCATTGTTTGCTCCATCAGCATTAATCATGGCAATAGACATGCTTTGAGGACCGCGAGTGGCTTGTGGCCCTGGCTGGGGATGTACGTCCCCATCGGCTGTAAGGTCTTTAATCCACTCGGAAGCCGGCGCGCACAAGCGACGGAGGGAAACACTATTGGGTGGAGGACAAAAACCCTTTTTGGCTTTCTTGGCGTCCAACGTTTTCTCAAGAGACATCAACTCAGGTTCAGTCATTTGCCAATTTTCTATCAAAAATGAAACAACATCAGGATTGAGTTGGCGCTTGCGCTTCCAAAACCCCCGGCGCGAAGGACTCTGCATGACCTTCTGACGGCTCTCGGGACCTGTACAGCGGTGAAGGCGGATGTCTTTCCACTTCTGGGCAACTAAGGTACAACGAGCGCAGCTGCAGTGATCCTGCTTATGACCGAAGCGTGCAGCGGGAATTCGAAAACAAAACCCGGGGCCAGTTTGGTTGTAAATGCGAATGGCCTCATCTGTCTTGCCACGCTTTGCGGCTGCGTTTTGCTCTTGGAGCTTCTGATGCTTGGCTTGCCAAGACGCACGCTTATAGCAGCGTTTCCGCATTTGTCTGGCAGACAGATTGTAGCAAGCTTTTTCATGGGCCAGCTGGCTTGCTCGCAAAGCTGTTTTTGGCATCCAGGGCAAGCCCTGGTGGCACTTGGGACATTCCCACGCACGCTGTGAAACGGGGATCGCTGAGCTGGCTGAGGCCAGCTGAGCGTGCTGTTTGAAAGCTGGTCGGACCAGTCGGGCCTTTCCAGGATGAGATTTTGCAATGTGACGCCGCCTGGAACAGGCCAGGGATCGCTTGAGTCGATTTCGCAACACTTGGCAACACAAATTGCAAGTCCATGTGTACTGATCAGGAACATTATGAGCTTTAGCTAACTGTGGCTCACCAGAGTCATTCACGTCAGCAGCCGGAGCAGCAGTAGATCGAATCGTTGCGGCCCGACTGCGGTTAGTGAGCTGGGTACGAAAGCTTGGCGCGCGGTCGCGGAGCGCATCACGGGTTGCTGGACTCTTTTCAGAACCTGTCTTTGGAGAGAACGAAGAGAAACTGTCTTCGGTCGTTCCGACAACGTGCATCCGCAGTGGACCTGCAGGGTCCTGACGGATGGTATGCACTGAGGGTGTGTCAGGCTCATCGGCACACAAAGTGTGAGCAGACGGAGTGGAGGGTTCGGAGGAAACCTCTCCCGCTCCGCTGAAGTCAGCTTGCTTGTTTTGCGTTTCAAACAGCCAGGGCGTTGGGACCTCAACGTGAGCCCCAGGGAGCAATGCAGTATAATGTTTATTTTCGAGCACAAGGACAGCGGGGCTAGCCCCCTTCCTACCACAAGCAACACCCTGAGGTTGATGAGTATAGGAAAACTTAGGCGCGAACACAAATCGCACCCATCCATCGCTGTCTTTTCGAAAAATGATAAGGCACAAACCGGTCTTTTCGGACAAACATTGGAGGGCCAAACCATCAACGTAAGTTTGTTGCTTTTCCATGTTTTCAATCCAGTCTTGGAGAGTATCAGGGGCCTTACGGCCGGCGCGTTCAGAAGTGGTTTCTTCTGCGTCCAAAGCCCAAAATGCTCGAAGTCGGTCTTGGTGCTTGCGAGCGTGCTTCATGGCCAGCATACGCAGTTGAGCTCCGGCCAAGCGCGCAGCGTCTTTGGACATGTTTTCGGACTGCTGTGCCCAGGCTTGGGCGCCGGCCACTGCTCGGAAACAGCAATCACCATTGCCTCCATAATCGGCAAGGGACCAACCCTGTTTGCATGCTTCGTCCGGGTTGGTTGGGCATCGATGGTTGCCATCGATCTTGGGTTCATTGGAAGTACTTCCTTGGAATCGTCGAGGGCTACGTTCTCGTTCGCTGGGCTCAGTCCCTTCATTGATCACTGTCCGAGCCTTTCCGGCGGTCGCAGGCAGCTGAGGTCCTCGAACGGAAGACGAATCAGTGGAATTGCCTTGGTGCCAATTGCGAGGAACGCCTCGTAATGACTTTTCCCACACAGCCTTGGCTGGCTTTGTGGGTGCTTTGACAAAGGTGATTGTCATATCTTCTTCGATATCGTAATTGTAGCAATTCAAGTCGGCTTGCGGGGCCTTGGCAAGGAACCGCCACTCAGGCTTCTTGCTATGGAACCTTTTGGTAATGATCTCAATTTCTTTCCAACCTTGTTGTTCAAGAAAAGAAATAAGCTCCTCCCCCTCCCAAGTGCTCGGCATGCCACGACCAAGGAAGGTAGTTCTGTGAACTTCTGCCTCCTCTTCTTTGGTTGGGACGGTGCCCAAGTTGTTGGAGCCACTTTTCTTGTAAAACAGAGCTGTGTTACGTTTCTTGGCTGTTTGCACACACCTATGAAAATAGGCCTCAGAGCTTTCTTCTTTAGCTCTCGAAAACCAAGTGATAGGCTTTCGTGCTGGTGCGGTTTCAAGGATGTTTGTGAAAACTCCTTTGGAACCATTGTCTTTCAACAGGATTTCAGCCTCCTTGCGCGGGAGCTTCAAAAATCCTACAATCAAAGAATGCTTTCCTGCAAGCTGTTGGGACCACTGACCTCCTGTCAAACTACTGGCCTGAATCTGAGGAGATCGCAGGGCCAAGTCGGCAGCTATGTGCTTTGGCTTGTCGACAAAATCTTTTAAAAAGAGCTGTCTATATTCACTCGGTGCAGCGACGCGCAAAGTGCATCGGTCGATCTTGGGCAATTTGCTTGGATCCACTTTGATGGAAGGTTTAGTATTGATGGCCTTTCCTGCGTCCCCCAGAAAGAGAAGGGAGACGTCTTCGACCTTTTGCCCCGCCTTGCCTCGTGATAAAGTGAGACGAGTGTGCTTAGCCCCTTCGGTATCTTTGGCTTCACCGGACAGGATCAGGGTGAGCGAACCTGTGCATCCGTAACTATGCTACATGGTGCGGGCTTCTTGCACATCGTGCCACTGACTGATTTCAGTGATGTTGATTTTTGAGATATCTTTCCCTGCTTTGATATCTGTGGCAATGTCCACAAAAGGCTGAAAGGCAGGAACACTACTCCATTCGCTCTGGACAAAAGCCGTAATTGGCGCGTACCATCGTGGTTGTGAAGTCCGCGCATGCCTTTGCCAACGTGTTGTGGTTGCTTTGTGAGCTTGTGGGTACGACTGTCTACCTGAATGTGACCAGTCGTGCCTGGTAGTTCCAGGTGGTTCACTCAGCCGGCTGGGTTTTTGAAGCGCTTCTTTGACCTTTTGGGCTACAATCTCATCGTTGTGGTTTCTTTGAATGCACTCTTGCAAAACAGCCATGAGTGAACTAGCTAAAGAGCTAGTGTTTGGAACAGCCGGAGCGCTGTCCCGGGCTGTAGTTTGTTGATGTGTCTTCCGATGCTGTTGTCCCGTGTCATCTGCACAATGTGGCCGCTTGCAGCCTTTGTTTTGTTGCCAGCTTTGCAGGACAGTCAGCAGGCTCTGAGCTAGGTATTGGTCATCACTTGGTTGTTGCTCCTGTTGCCAGCGTTTGCGTTTGGAACGCTGTGAGCCAGCAGCTCCACCAGTAAAAAGGTGTCGATGCGCAGCCGCCCATCGAAAGGGGTCGATTTCGGCTTCGTTCCGGGCCCTGGTTGGTGAGGGCAGGGCTCTCCCACATCTACGCAAATGTGTTGCCGAGCGCTGCAGGCGTCTTGGCTTGTTTCGGTGCGCACGACTCGAGAGCCAGGGTGACACTCGAGGTGTATGAATGCCAGCGCTCAAAGGCTGAACATCGGACTTGCTCCCTTTTGGTGGAAGGAGTAGTCCCCAACGTCTGTTCAGGTTTGGTGGCCTGGAACGCTTGTGTTCACGCCTTCGTCTGTTTGGGTGGCCCAAGAGCCAGTACGAAATTCGAGACACATGAATGCTTGCACTCTTGCGTCGAAACTTGAGACGTGCTTGTTTGACTCGTCTCAGCTGGATGGTACGCGCAGGAAACACCACGCGCTGCTTGCAGGCGAATTTTGTATTGCATCGAATTTGAGTCTTTTTGTGTTTTTGGTGCTTGTCACACTGAAACTGTTTCTGATCTTTTGGGTTTTTTAGGGCCTGTCGTGTCGGCAAATTACGATCTGCATTCGGACTGTTGGTCATCCAGTCCCACATAAAGCCACAGCATGCTAAGAAAAAGATCCACAAAAGCGAGCAAATGGCTTGGTGTGCTGTGTCAGCTCTGTCGTCTGATGCAGCTAGGCATGGCTGCAAACATAAGCACCAAATCAACAATCGTATCAAAGAAGACTGAGGTTTGGGCTTCCACTCGGATGTTCTTTGGCTTCCGCACCTGGTTGAGGCCCGCGAGAACCACGCGGAGGTAGCCAATTTCTCGCAAACGGCTGCAAACGCAAAGTCTGTAGCTGCAATCATATATATATGGAGTTGTAGGTGCTGTAGCCCTTGAATTGCTATCAGCACACAAAGTCGTGCAACATCGACACACCGATGCCAGAAAGGCAAAGCGTAAGGTATGCTGACCCACGTAGTCAATGGGCCGCGAAGGATAAGGTGGGCCCAACACAAAGTCAGGCAAGACTACCACAGAGCTGCCTGGCGGTGATCGGTGGAGAGACCACAGAACACCCGACCCGTATCACTTGCCGAAGCCATGCCGCGGCCAAGACGGCAAAGCACCATGCAGGTCGGACAGACGTGCCGAAGTTCAAGTCAATGGAGAAGCCATCCACGAACAAAATGTCCATGACGTGAAACGTATGCAAAGGCAGCGGGATCCTCACGATCCAACCAGTCCAGCTCCACGTAACAAAGCACGTGCGAATTCACGGTGAAAAGCCCAAAACTTCCAAAGAAGATCCCGTGTAGTCAAAGACCGAAAAGGAAAAAGCCAGAGCAGCAGAAACCACGGACTCGTCAGCCCCACAAGGTCGCAACAAAGCCATCCGGCACCAAGCGCACGACCATAGCCAGGCGCCCTCATTAGTCACTCCCCCAGGAGTGTGGATCCTCTAAACTTCGCACCCTTCCTCGTCAAGAAGGGCCCAGGGCCACCACGTGGAGGTGGAGGATCCGAGCTGGCCCCTGTAGCTGCAATCATCTTGACATCTTTCAACTGTTCTAGAACCTGTCCCGAGTCACCTCCATAATCCTCCAGACCCCAGGTTACCACGTGTCCATCAGCCAAAATGGCTGCGAAGGCTGTCGAGGTCGCTTTGATCTCGCGCACGTCCGTCAGCAGCTCTTGGGCCTCACTGCTATCACCACCAGAACTCTCTGAACCCCAGGTCACGACCCTATCTCTGCCATAGAATGCAAAAGCATCTCCTGTGGCTGCCAGCTGGGCTTCTTGCAGAATCACTGTCACTGTATCTCCGTCATAGAGCTTGGCATCTTCGATGGATTCATGAACGTCTAAGAGATGGCCATTCGAGGAGATCATCTGCAAGAAAGATACTCCAAACCTCACTTGGCACAGACAAAGGCTGAACATGGCACGTACAAAACTTCTGGAATTCAAAGTTATAAGTTATAGACTAAAACTCTCACCCGCCTTTCCTGATTCGTCCCTTTAGCCAGAGAAGCCCTTGTTCATTCCACGACTACACGACTAAAAAAGGGTCTAAACATGTCTAAACCCTTTTGCATCGCTGCTCTTCATTTTTCAAAGAAACCATCGTTTAGCTTCCGCGTGGAGCTCCAGCACGCTCGAGCTGGCTGAAAGGACCACACTCGTGGTCCGGCCACTGGGCAGCGACAGGTGAATGCTCCACATGTCAAGAGCGTGCAAAGGATGTGTTGGGGGGCTTGAGAAACACCAAAGGCCAGAACCCAAAGGATGTTTTGTTCGGCCAAAACACCGGACTCTAGGAGCCACTAGGGTTCTAAAACGGGATGATTGAAACCACATGCTGCATGCTTTTGGAAACCAGAGCTCGCTTCCTGGCGTCCAAAGCCGTGCTGACTGAGCCTCGCTTCGCTTAATTAATTCGCGCTCGACGAGCGGCGCAGCGCATCACGCTCTCGTCGGACGCGAGCGACGTGGCTCCGGAAGGGAGAGAACTTAACACTGGAGGAAGTACGGTTTCTATCTGTGTTAAGAAATGTTCTTAAACAAGAAAGTAAGCGTCTTTCTTAACAGAGTCATCAGCCGTATATCACACTGAAGGAACTCTCAAACACATTTTTCTGAGATGACCACTGGAGAGAGATGACCACTGAAGGAGTTAGTGAAAGGGATCGACTCTTGTGGCTGAAGCGCCCGCAGGTTTGCTGGTCAAAACGGTTGATGGTCTGGCATAACGGCTTGAAAAGCTGGGATGGATAGTGGAAGGCTCCTTCGAGTTGGTACCAGGGCTCCTTCGAGCTCATGTTTTGAGTTCGACCAGCCTTCCGAAAGTAAGAAACCAATGGAGTCTAGACAAAGGACTGAGTAGGGTAAATCCACGACTACTTGCTCCTGGTGGCCATAAATAGTGAGTGCACGTGAGTGCTATTCTCCAGTTCGGCGGATCTAAGATGTGTTGATCCGAAAGAAGTGTTCCAGATATGAGATGCTTTTCTGGCTAAAAGTGTGAGAGCAATGGACCACACAAAGAGAAGACCTCCCTCTTTCTTCGAAAAACGCCGGGCCTCGGACGGGCGTCTTTACGATTCGGGTCAACGGGCTTGGACGGGCAGACCCTTTTGAGCTTCGCGATGTGCATTCGCATGTGCTCACTATGTTCATGTGCTTTTTCGAAGAGAAGATGAAAAGCCATACGATTGGTGATGACAGACTTGCAAGACCAGGAAATGATTCAATGATCCATACCAACCTCTTGAACCGGCTCTTTATTTGATCCACTCATCCGATCTTCACGTAGGGCCCCACTATACTGGCTGCTACCAAAAGGATCTCTCTGCGCCAGATCTCAAAACTTCCTCCTGTGTCATCCTTCAACAAAAAGTGAGTGACTCACTCCCACCCCACAGTCACGCGCACACCGAAAACATCCAAAAACTAGCTCCCAAGGTAATCAATAGGGCCGTGAACTTTATGTAAGATAGATACCCAGCAGCATCTTCCAATCTCAGTTTCAAAAGAGAGTCAAGTGGAGCCATCCCAATCATCCCACAACCAAAAACACCAAATCCAAAGAGCAAAAGATGGAAACACATGCACCAAGTCTACCTCTTCTTTTTCTGCCATGTTCCAACCATCTTCCACCTGCCCCTTGTTTTCAAACACCGACCCCACCAACCCATACCAACCCCCCTCATCCTGCCCCTCATCCTCCCGGTCTCCCTGCGCCACGCGGCAGAACCACTTGGGCCGTGACCCTCCTCGGCGGCGGCCCCGGCGGCGGCCCCGGCGGGCCCGGGAAGGGCGGCGGCTCGCGCGGAGGGCTCGGCGCCGTTCGCGGAGGGCTTGGTGCCTGGTGGAGAGGAAAAAAGACGCAAATGTCGGTTGTAGAAGAAGAAGAAGAAGCAGGAGGAGGAGAGGGAGAGGGAGGAGGAGAAGGAGCAGGAGGATGGCCTCAATTCATCGTTCTACGACTTTAGGAGCTTCTTGATGTGAAAACTAGACACTTGGAAATGCATCAAGACCTGCTGGGGTTGCGCTTTTTGGAAAAAAATCGCACTCCACTTCAGCTGGTTCTCTTTCTTGCCCGGGTGTTCCATGCGTTCATCTGGTCCAGGTCAGCGCCTCCAAACGCTCCGGAGGCTCCTGCGACTGGCCGGGACCACGGGCGGGTGGGACGGACTCGGTGTTTCACGGGACCGGTTGACTTGGAGGCACATCTCATGACTGGTGCTTAGTAGGGAATGAGAATGACCTCTCACTATAGATACCATGGGATCCATTCCCTCATTCTTTACGAAGCACCAGTCAGTCTCATGACTTCGGAACCCGCCCTGGCAGACCAAATCAAGACACTCGGGTCCCACGAATTGACCGGAGAAATGAGGTGCTGAAGACCTCGGGATGCGGACCCGCGGACGTAGGGGCGTGTCGTTTAAGAGGACGGTTGCTCCTGAAGAATCAGAGGAGTCTGGCAAAGGACATCTGTGAACCACTGCCATTTCCAGAGAAATCCCTGAAATGATGTAGTTCTTCCTCCTTTCAATGTGCTGTGAATGTTGAAATGGAAGATATTCACCACTCCTTCGTCAGTTCCTTCCAGCTCTCCTTTCCATTGGGTGCGTTACGTGGGCTCACCATCTTCTCATCCTCCTGCGCTACCTCCTGTGGCGTCGGTGTCTGGCCAAACTCGGGCCAAGTTTACCGCGCTTCTTGAGGTGGAACACTGGCGATTCCAGCGGATCCTTCCTAAAATTGGGTAGTACCAATTGCTGACAACAATAGTGGATGTTGAATAGTTACAATAGAAAGAAAAGTTCGGGAACCCATCGAAATCTGTTCCTCAAGTGCTCTATCATGCTCTATGGGGGACGATTGCCGAAGGGTGCTGCGAATCTCTTGATTCCCCTCGTACATCTCTCTCTCTCTCTCTCTCTCTGGAATTCTTGAAATTCCACAGCTTTCAAGGAAAATGACATCAAACCCGCCAGTGCCACACTCCACATGCCCAACACATGGCACCGCAAATTTCCGGTCCGGTGCCTCCTCCTCGCGGGCGAAGACGGTGCGAGGGCGGGCCTTGCCGGATTCGATCTTGGATGGTCAACCAGCGATCCAAGTGAGTCGCTCCAAGTGAGACGTCCCCCGCCTCGCCTCATCAGATGGATGTGTTTTTTCCAGCCAGGAACGACCCTTTTTTTAGAGGTGATGGCACGTCTCGTTCCGCGCATCCATCACAGAGGCGCATGGATCCCAAGGGGCAGAGGCTCATGGGACCGGAACTGAGCCTGCTACATGTTGGTGAAGGATCCCAAACCACCCTGGCGAAGTGTGGGTCAAAACCCTAGCGAACCCTAGCGAACTGAGGGTCCAATGAGCCTCTGGGAAGAGCACATTTGCTTGAAATTCGGCTCAAGGAGCCCCACGTCCCCCGCAGGACCCACCCGGACCGAGCAAGCGCATCGGCGCCCGAAGTTCGAGGCGCCCGAAGTTCGGCGCCCGAATGGCGGGTGCGCCAGTGGCTTCAGCCAAGCATCAAAGTGTACCCAGTGGATCCCCAGCAACCGATGCAACAAGAGAAAGATAGAGAAAGGACACTGTTTTCCGCGAAGGTCCAAAGAACCTCCTCTCTACCTCCTCGATCTACGCTTCGAAGGTCATTCGGGAGAAAAAAGGCACCAAAAACAGTGATGAAACCTATGTCATATAAACCTATGTCATAGTGCATGGAACCTATATGTCATATAACCCTGTGGTTGATTCAGAATTCTAGTGCATGGAACTGATGTGTAGATTCCGAATGGACATCGCTTAAGATGTCTTTTTGCGGCGGTTCCGCTCCAGGCCGCTTAGGCGATCCAATGGACTGATCCGATGCGACGGTTCAGCCGATCGGACGCCTCGGTTCGCTCCACCCGGATCCGCCTCGCGGCCCGGTGGCTCGGACGCCTTCGGCACCTGTCTCAGGAAGGGAAGAGGAAAGGAAGGCTGGAAGAGGTGTTGGAAGGCACCTGCAGGTGGCCATGGTGAGGGCACCCAGGTGTTTGGAGTGGATGTTTGTGGGTGGCACCCACTGCCAGCCAGCGAGGCATGTGGTTGGTTCCAATGGAGAAAGTGCTCAAGGAATCTGGTAAAAATAGAACATGTTTCCCGGAAGGGGATTTACCCATAGGGAATTCAAAAGAATCACCAAAACCAGGTACTTGAAAGTTAGTCACTCATCAATTCATGATTTCTCCAAAAACTCATGAATCACTGGGACGCTCAAATCCACCAAGTCGGCCGCAAGTGCCCTCCGATCTGTGCCTTTGTGGTCGGTGGCGGCATCGGTGGCGGCGCCGATGCCATCTTCGCCGTCGCCCGCAGCAGCAACGGCGGCGGCGCAAAGGGGGGCGGCTGGGGGCCCCTCGGCTCCTGCTGGGCGGAGGTGCAGAAACCGAGGTGGACGGAGGGTGGTGAAGTGATACCACAGAGGGCGTCTCCAGGTGAAAGTTGTTCCAAACCTGAGTGGGTTTGAAAGTCGATGGCAATACCTAAAGGGGTCGTGGACCCCCATCCTTTTCATGACATCTTGGGGTGCCAACAAGTGCCGGTCGCATCATCGCTGGAGGGAGGGGAGGAGCTCCAGCTAGTGGTCGCTCCCAGGTCCGGCGACCCGGCCCCTTTCTTCGCTCCGGTGCCGAATCGCTCCAGCTACCAGCACCTTCCAACAGGTCTCCGAAATGGAGGGTTGGGAAAGGCCCTAACAGGTTTCAATTGGTGACCTGTGAAGTCGGTGCTGCTAGTCATACAGATTTGATCTTTGGTGGACCCCACGACCTGGATCAGGTTCAAACGGGCGGTCCTGAAGCGTTTTTCGGTCCTGTCACGAGAATCCACTGGGGAATGCTTGGGCGACCTAAAGATGAGCCTTCAAGAGGAATCTTCCATCCAACCCCATCAACCAATCCAAAACCAACCCTCCACCCAATCCAAAACCAATCCTCCCAGTATCACCTTCTGGGTCTGGATCCTTCTAAAGCCACCCGCCTTCCGCACGTCCCCGTCCGCACGTACCGTGGAACCGCGCTCCTGGTCGTGCTTGGCCCTCTTTCGCCTGTCGGACAGGGGATTCGGATAGATATGGCATGATATGGCTGCAAATGGACGAAAATGGCATGATGATGTTCCGAAGTTTCGATTCGGATTTACTTGATTGAATGTATGTCTAAATCACTAGACCATTGCAGAGACAACCCCAAACAGCATGCAAGTTGCAGACTAGAAACGAAGAAGTTTGCTTTGAACGGACCAACCAAAGCGCCTCAGGAAGTTTTGCATTCCGGGGAATGGTCGAACTGAATCTTCATTGATCTGCATTGTTTGCAGTAATGCAGGCTCCTTATCAAGGACAAGGCCACACGGCAAGGAACCATGTAGACTGATGATGATATTTCAACACCCCAGTAGTGAAGAAGTGTTTCCATCCATGTATCCGTTTTTGGGGGGGATTGATGTGTTCGATCAGGCCGGATACGGACGGACGGACAGACGGCCGTCGCCTGGGCAAGGGCGGTCGCGGATCAGCACGTTTCTTCTCCTGGTGGCGGCTGTGGGGGAAGATGATGCATGGATGAAGACAAGAAAGAAAGAAAGAAAAGAGGAGGAAAAGCATGCTATGTTGAAATTCAAGTTGATGTTTGTTAAACAAAAGGGTGCAATCATGTGCAATCCATCAGCTAGCATACCACCCGGGCACAGCAGGCCTTCACCCCTCGAAAATGTGTTGAACATCGTCAGTTGCTCGTACACCTCAATGTGCTTTGCCTGAAAAGTTCCCTTGAGTTGCTACTAAACTTGCAGTTGGAAAGACCTCCCATGACCTCGCATGCACAGCTGGAGCTGTAGGCAAAGGAAGCCCCTCCACACGGCAAGGTGATACTTCAGCGTCCCATACAGTGCTCCTCACGTTCTGAGGTCTCTAGATGTTTCTTGCAGAAACACCGGTTTCTTGGGCAGAAAGAAAGGGGTTGTGCTTAGAAACACCGGTCGCATGAGTGTGTGGGAGTCAACATGGGACCAGACCCTGAGTATGCCAAGACTTAGGCCCTGGTCAATGAACTTGCAGTTGTTCCCTAAGTCCAAAAAAGATGCAACAACGGCAAACATTGATCCATCCCAAAGAAAAACTAGCCTCAAACAGTGCTGTTGCCTGCCATCCCAATCAACCCCTCTCAAAAAGGTCAACAAAACCTGGGATCCATCATCTTCAATCCATCCCTTCCATGGTCCACCCACTCGGTCAGCTACACCGATCTCCTGGCTCTCCGCAGGTCTTTCACCTGCGGAAGCCGAGGAGGTTCGGTGGGTCCGGGGAGCGTTCGGCGTGAGCGTCGAGGGGAACGAGGTTCGGTCCGTGTTCGGTGCCGTCGAAGCGCCGAAGTCTTAGTTAACAAAGGCGTGCATTAAAAAAAAGAGAAAAAAGAACTCAATGACTCAATGGTCAACCACTCCGGCAGCCCAACTCCTCAAAACCTCCAAAAACACTCCTTTTTTACATCAATTGCTGGTAGGAATTCCAGGGTAGAACCACTTCTTCGACACCTTCGACCCACTTCGGAGGAGCGGCTTGTGGCCCAGCGACCCGCTGCCCAGACCTACCGGAGATGCCCGGAAGGACCTACCGGACCTGAAGACTCCGAGCCTTTTTCTCGCCCCCCATATGAAGAGGGAGGTCCAATTCAAATGGAGGAGGTTACTCATCAAGAGTCTACATGAGTATCACCTTTGTCCCATGCCCTACAGATCAAGGACGACTTCACTTTCTGGAGTTGGAAAAAGACAGAAACACGACTAGTATCTCTGCACTGAGTCCGACTGGACCCTGTAGGCAGCCGCCTTCCGGCTCGCCCTTCGTCTCGATGACCTGCCTCCCATCGATGGCAGGGTGTCGACATTTCGGCAGGGTGTCTGACGTCATAAAGCTCTTGCCCAACCCATCCAAAAAGAAGAAAATAACTACTGTACCCTAGGAACTCGAAGGAAGATCGGAAGATCAGATTGAAACAGTCCACACAGCTATACGTCAAAAAGCACCTGTGCTCACCCTCACCTGCGAGTCACCTGTTCTCACCCTCTTTCCTCCCGGCACGGGTTCCTCCACGCCTGACGGGCTCCTCCACCACCTCCTCGTAGACCACCCGTTCTTCCTGTTGAGCCGAGAAACAAAAGGCGAAGCGAAGCGAAGCGAAGAGTTTCCGGAAATCCGGATCCGAGCCGGATCAGTTGCCAAACAGAGAGATTCTGACCTGGACCTGGAGTGTATCTGATTAGTAGATTTAGTTGATTTTAGATTTTGGAGTGTATCTGACAGATGATGATAGTGATTAGATGTGATTAGTGAAGGACAACTTGATGTGGCTTGAACCAGAGCCCTGCGACTCAATTACGGATCCTCATCTGAAGCTCATGGCCGGCCTTTTTTCGGGTTGTCCTTCTCAACTGTTGCAAACAGAAATCTTCCTCAGTCTCACTTGGGGTGGGAGTGAACAATCACATCGATCTATGCAACTTGGTCACGATCTCACCATCAAGCACGTCCTTCTGGGCATTTGGTCCGTAGCTTCCCTTCAAACAAAGAACAAAGACTCTAAGCAAGGGGTTGGCAGAACATGCACACCCAAACCTGCTCACAAACCCATGAGGCTCTTCTTCCTCTTCCTCTTCCTCTTCCTCTTCCTCTTCCTCTTCCTCTTC